TCATCGGAAAGTATTTTTAGACCCACTCAATCTGAGCAAACGAAGGTTCCATAGGTGGAAATTGCAAGGGGATAAAACTAGGCACTATTGTACAATTGCGACTCCAGTAACCTAAATGTTTTACTGGAACCTCGCGTGCATATGCTTTTTCGCTTTCATTTTCGGCGACAACGCCTTGTTAGGGCGCTCTGATCAAGTGCGCCATGTTGACGGACAGTTCTCGCGATCGAGCGGGCCGCGAAATGAGTGCACTTGGCACCGTTCTCCGCATTCGCAGAGAATTTACCTTTTTTGTCTCTCGGATTGCTTTCGCTCTGCAAGATAACGGGTTACAAGCGGAATTGCATGTGTACATAGCGTAGCGTGGAGCGTCGTAGTGTGATTTCTCTTGCCGGGAACTGGTTGCACGTCGAATCCTGCTGATTGGCTTGCGACGTCTGACAAGCTCGTCCGAGGTGCCCACTGCTTTATGATTGAGCACTTAATTGTCTTTAAGGCTGAAGAGGCGAGTAGGGAACCACCGCTACTCCCACGCTGAGCCTCAGCACTTCGCTGAATGACGCTGGGTCAGAAAATGAATGTCATATTCTCATCGAGACACCGAAAACCCTAACAAATAATCCTACTATATATAATCCGGCTAAGTTTGTGTGTGTGTGTGTGTGTGTGTGTGTGTGTGTGTGTGTGTGTGTGTGTGTGTGTGTGTGTGTGTGTGTGTGTGTGTGTGTGTGTGTGTGTGTGTGTGTGTGTGTGTGTGTGTGTGTGTGTGTGTGTGTGTGTGTGTGTGTGTGTGTGTGTGTGTGTGTGTGTGTGTGTGTGTGTGTGTGTGTGTGTGTGTGTGTGTGTGTGTGTGTGTGTGTGTGTGTGTGTGTGTGTGTGTGCGTCTGTCTGTCTGTCACGAAATTCATAGCGAGCGTCGCAGAAAAGATAGGATGACAGTTCCAAGAAGTGATATACACGGCAGGACGGGAACACTTTTGGTGGGTGACAGGAGGTGATAACACCTGATAAGATTCGATAAGGGGCCTTAGAAGGGAAGGGTGACCGAATTCGTGGCAAGTTGCAGCAGCTGCGGGACCGTGATTTCAAGAAGTGATATACACGGTAGGGTTGTGGCTGACAGGAGCTGATAGCATCTGATAAGATCCGATAAGAGACCGACGCGGGTGTCACGAAATTCTTGGCGCAGGTTGCAGCGACCTGGGACCTTGATTTCAAGATGTGGTATAGGGTAGGGGGCCGACGTGGACATGATTGTGTTTGAAGAAGCCTGATAATATCTGATAAATTCAATAAGGGGCCGTCAAGCGGAGGCGCCGTCACCAACTTTAAAGGCAGGTTGCAGGCTCTGTGGGACCTTGGTTCAAAGAAGTGGTATAGGGGGAGGAGGGCGGGAACCCACTGACGGGTGACACTAAGTGACAGCAACTGATAAGGGTTGAAAGCGTCATCATGCGGGAATCCGCAACACCGCTTACTGCCACAATGCGATTGATATGACAGGTATCAGGCTGTCAGTAGTTCGTACACAACTCACTCCTATGCTCTCACCGCTATCGACATCATGTACGACTGCTAAAGCAACTGGAGTTCAGATGCATGACGGTTGTTTACTCAGATGCCATGAACTGCAGCAACTAACTTTATCACTATGACCATGATTATCTTCTGCTGCTCTTACAGGTTACTAAACTTTCGTGTGAGGGTTATGGAGATTTTTGGTACTAACCCCGAGAAAAGAATGGACAAAAGGATAGATTTCAGCGTTACATTGGGACAACGGTTACAATTCTACCATATATAATCGACTATGTCCGTGCGTGTGCGTCTGTCTCTTTGACAATTCATAGCGCCGGTCCCAGTAGCAGCGAGATATTGGTTCCAAGAAGTGACGTAGAGGGTGTGACGGGAACACTATTGGTGGGTGATAGGAAGTGAAGTTGATATCAGTTGATAATATCTGATAAGAGACCTCAGAATGGAACTCTCATCACAGCATCAGTCAGGGGTCGGTCCAACATATGATTTAGGGTATGGGACAGGAACATTATTGGTGGATGACAAGAACTGTCAGCTGCTGATAAGATTCGAGATGTTAGAAGGGTATGGTCACTGAGTCCATCACGCGAGTCACAGCAACAGTAGGAGGTTGGTTCCAAGATACGATGTAGGGTTTAGGAAAGGAACACTAGGTTGGTGACAAAAACTGCCAGCATCTGATAAGATTGGATGAGGGGCGTCAGGCTCTTTCTTTTGATGTCATTAGAATTTCGGAAGTAACAAAGCGCTGTTGCACGATCCTCTGGCCAGATTCAACTTTAACCCATTGCTCGAGCTATTTTCAATTATTTTTCTACATTTTGCTGGAAAATGCACTGTGACGGTTAGGCGTATTTTGCACACTCTACCTCGCCTAAGGAAAGAGTGCCTGGCGAAGCCAGGCCGGCCCGGCGAAGCCGGGCCGTGACAAAGAAGGAGGAGCACCCGGCGGCAGCCGGGTGATCCAACTGGTGAATAATAATAGCCGTTTTCATCACACATCGATTAGCACCAAGCGTGCAGCCCCATCACCTGCTTGAAGCAATGGTAACAGTCAGAGATCAGGCATATCCTTACATCGAAGTCCTCACAGCGACATCCTTCACAAAACAAAGGAAATCATGAGCACAGTTTCAAGGGCGGTGGTTTTACACGCACCTATGACAGACTCACCATTTAAAGTCCTCTTGGGATACGGTACCCTGTCGGTAATACTTAACTTAGATTCATGTTTGCTTCTCATTTGCATGGTCGGACGGGGCTGAAATGATTCTTGACGCCTGGGGTCGGGCTTTGGTTAATAAGTCCACACTTTTCCGGATGAGAGGATGCCGCACCACCGCCTGTCTGACATAAGATGGAACGGTCGCATCTATCCCTACATTGTCCGAGCAACGCGTGTCGACCGCGGACGCTCCTGGCATTTTGCCAATCTTTGGTGATTCACGCTTCCAATAGCGATTAGAGCGCAAACTGTGGGACTGAATTAAATAGGATTAAGGCGTTTTAGAGTTTCAAGCGCTTTTTAAGCGCGATTCCAATGAAGAGGATGCAAATCAAAGAGGAGTTGAATTTCCCAAGCCGTTTTTCAGCGCGATTTCCATGAACAGGACGCGAATCAAAGAGAGTGCAACTCTATCGAGTCCCAAACTCTTTCTCAGCGCGATACAACATAGGACCTGAACTAGAGAGCAGTTAGTCTCTTCGACTCATTTCTTGTATTTCAGGTGTATTTCAGGTTCTCTGCCACTGCATGCTGCTGTCGCTGCATTAAGTTGATTTGCTACCTATTACCAGTGACTACCTACAAATGCTGTGCTGGAGCGCACTTGATCTCGGATTTAGTTCAAACGCACGTCAATAAGATCGCGCGGGAAACCGCACTATATATGGACGAATCTCGGACGAGCAGCCAATACTGCTCACGCCCCCCCCCCCTCCTCTCCTCTCATCCCATCATTCGTCTTCCGGCCTTCGGGCCCCATACTTCATATCGATGCCTTTAGCTATTGATCGCCTTATTGATTAGCCTTCATAATGTTCGGTCTCGTTTACGACATTCCTAACGATTCCTTTAGCTATTACCTCGTTGATTGGTATTCATACTATTCAGTCACGTTTACCACACTAATGTATTCCAGTCGTTATTGTATTTCAGTGTTTTCTTGAAGTCGCATATATTTCAGTCGTTCCTTGAAGGTAGCATAAAGTTTAATTACCCAAGTTTGAGGTTGCGATTGTCGGTTGTTCCGTCGTATCAGAATTGTTGTGGTCGTATTCCTTATATGTCAAGCCCCAAAACTGAACCACCGCTCCATCAACGGGTTACAGGTTAGTCGCACTTGCAATAAGTCGGCTACACACACACACATATAAACAACATACGAACCACTACAAATGCGTCCATCTTTCCAAGCGCAGTGGAGGTACGATTTTACAGGTTTGGATCCACTTGCCTGCATTTCTCGTACTGTACAATGGATGTCGAAATCCTCTTGTTGATCACGCGAATTTTGGTTTCTTCACTCCATCATTCTTCATCCGTTGCGATTCCCTTACAACGCTCTTTGAATAGCTTAACTGTATTTCATTGCTGGTTTCGAGAAGTTCTCATGTTTCTGCTTCACTTGGTTCACTTGTAGTAATTATGGTGTTCTGTTATTGTAGGCAATGCCTCTCAGGAGAAACGACAAGATGTCATGCGATTTTGCCATACTTAAATACTCCAGAGGGAAATATACAGACACTTGATGAATGTCCACAACTTCAGCCAAGATGAAGTTAATTGCATGAAAGAGGGACGAACCTCCAGAGTATCCTGCCCCATCTCTGAAAACAAGTTTATCGACCAGGAAGAACTCGCCAACCACTGTAATGACGAACACACTTATTATGGTGCAAATGATACTGAACAAGACTATAATGTTCACATTGACCTTCGCTACGAAGGATGAGTATGTGGTACGCAACTGGAGCCGTTTGATTTCTAGTCTTTTTTCCTCATTCCAGTATCGCAACGGGAGCTGGACTTCGTTTCGCTGTTTTCTCGACTCTGAACACCTTGTTTTGCCTTTTTGGAACTTCCCTTTCCTTAGAAATGGTTAGGAGAACAGTGTGCGAGAACGGTAACCACGCTGTATAAACGATCAAGTAAAGGGAAAATACACAGTTTCAGGTAACTTTGAGGAAATTTCTTCAACTCGGTTGCCAGTGCGATTTCTTGTACGTGCACCGAGCGGGAGAGTACTCATGTCAGAGCAGTACGCGATCAACATTTTCTCGCATTGCTCCTGCTTTGCAAACTGTACCATGAACGACGATGGGACCGTCACCATTACGGGTTTGGACACGTAGGACACGAGGTTGAACCAGCACTCATTCGTCTAACTGAAGCGCAAGGGTACCTTCAATTTTTGCTAGAAGGTAAGCTGGAACTGTACTTGCTTCTCTGCACTTAGGCAATGTATGTGAGAAATTCAGACCACTCGTTGGTCTATATAATCCGTCACGTAAGAAGAGAGTTTCCGGCGAAGACCTCTAGACTTCACTTTGTAACGAAAGCGGACCTGTGGAATATTATCGACTAGTACGGTATGAGGCCGGGACAGCGAGACAGCAACGACTTGTCATCTCTACAGCATCTGAAAACAATCCGGACGGAATAAGAGTCCTAGAAATGCCAGAAGACTCAACTGGAGAGGGATTCACTCTCAGTAAGAATCTGGTGCCCTTGTAAAATGCGCTTTGACAATTATCGAAAAATTCTCAGATTCCAGTTATCATTACGCCGACTCAGGAGAACACAGTATTCTCGCCGCGGAATATCAGTAGATGACATGCACGGTGCCACAAGGTACAGCCTGAAGCTAGCAACTGTAGTGGTAACGGATGAACGAGACAGAGGATTACCAGCCGGTCAGTTTTTGACAATTTATGCGTAACCAACAAACAATTTGGAGTTTCTTCTGAGTGGAACAATGACATCTTCTGACGTCCAAAGGGTATTCGAGGAAGTAAAAAGACTAGTGCCGAATTTCGAACCTCGCCAAATTGTCACCGATGAGGCGCCATGCCTTATTAAAGGATTTACTGCTGTATTCCTTCAGTCTCGTACTGCCCCGCGCTACTGTCGCTGATATATACAAAATGTGGAGAGAACGTCGGGGAGCTTAAGGAGGTCAGCAGAGTTCTACATTGTTCGCCGTTTCTTCTTCTTCCTCAGCGTTTGTCCCGCTCTGTAGCGGGGTCCGCTCGTCTTATTTTGTCACGCCACTTCACCCGATTGAATGCTTGATCGGGATGGGCGCCAACTATCTTTAAGTCCGCATGCAACGTGTCTAACCAGCGCTGCTTGGGGCGTCCTTTAGGCCGCTTCCCGTGAACTTCGAGCTCAAGACCAATCCTACGGACGGTGTCACACCCCGCGCGAAGAACATGACCATACCATCGAAGGCGAGCTTCGCGCATTTTCTCGGCCACAGGATATACAGGGGGAGGGGACCAAAAAAAGCCACTTCGACCGAGTCACATATCAGCAAAGTTTTCGCAGCCCAGACAGAGGACGTGGATACGAGTACCAGGGAAGATACCCAAGATGTTCCTCGATAAGCAGGAGCTGGCTCTCGCCCATCACCTTCATGTACACCAAAATATGAAGTCACCAGTCGCAGCCTGACTGGAGAAGACCTTTGGAATTCATGTCACCTCCAAACAGCTGCGAAACTTCTAGTATGGAGTCACCCATGGATAGCTACTGGTATGTTGCAAGAGGATCGTAATTGCGCCGTCTGGACTCGCGTGCGACGTCCGCCCTCAAAGGACGACGGTTTCAGGCAGTAGATGGCGACAACATGCAATTAAGGACCGAAAACAGTAATGAGTGTCTACGATGACGGGGTCTACATGAAGTCCGGTGCTTCATTCGACAGGTTAAAACGAGTTATGAAAACGCCGCGCCCATCGCCGCGCGTGGCGGGTCGCGAGACTACGACCTCTTTGACCGTCATCCCTGCTACCTGGACACCAGTACTTTCGATCTGGAAGACCTCCGATAGTACACCATCTTTAACCGTACAGGGGGACCCAAAAGAAAAGTCACTTGCCTCGAAGCACATGCTAGTAAAGAATACGGAGCCCAGAGAAAGGGCATGGGCGCGAGTATCAGGTTAGGACAGGATAGGATAGGCAAGATGTTTCTTGATCAACAGAAGCAAGCACTCGCTTGTCACCTTTATGCTTACCAAAATATGAGGCTATCCACCATCGCAGCTGAGCTGGAGAAGGCCTATGGATTCGAGTCGCCCTCAGACAGCTACGAAACTTTCCTGTACCGAGTCACGCATAGTCAGCTACCTGGAGTCCGGAACCATGGATCTGGAAGACCTCAGACATCGATCCGACAACGTTGCAATGGCCCAAGACATAATCGCCCAGGAGCCGACCATGACAGTGGCTATGCTCGTTGATCACACCAACATCCCCGCACGTCTGTTCGCCGGATTTTGAAGAACCAGGGATTCAAATCGGTTTCCAAGGTCGGTTGTCCTGAATTCCACTACCCTTCTAATCACCCCTTTTTAGGTACGGGTACAACGGGTACACAGCCTCAACGACGCCCAGCGAAAGCAACGCCTGGAGTGCTGCCGGAACCTACTGCCGAAGCTGAAGGAGGAGTTCGTGAGGAAGATTGTGTTCAGCGACGAAAAACTCTCATTTCTCCTGCACGGGACAGCAACAACACCCGCTTGTGGACCACCCTAAAGAAGAAGGAGCTCGCCCCGACGCTCTGCAGTCACCGAAGTCGACCAACCGGCGCGGGCTGATGGTATGGGCAGGGATTTCATGGAATGGCAAGACCGATATCCTCTTCGTGGAACCTGGACTGAAGGTAGACGCTGACTGCTACATCAAGCAGCTCGAGGAGGATATCCTGCCCTCATGCCGTCGCCTGTACCGTCGCGGAAACTTTGTACTGCAACAGGACTGGGCGCCAGCACATGGAGCCCGAAGAACTCTCGCCTACTTGGAAGCGAAGGGAGTTGAGTACCTAAAGAAGACGGAATACCCAAGTGTGTCCCCTGACTTCAATCCCCTGTCCCCTGACTTCAACCCCCTCGATTACCGGACTTGGGCGGAGCTCAACAGGGTGGTCTACAGTGGCGGAGAAATCAACGATCTCGCTGAACTCAGGCACCGCATCACAGTCGCGTGGCAGAATCTCTCGATGGCGTTCGTGCAGAAGGCTGTGGAGGAGTTTCGTGATCGTGTACAATGTGTTGTTGAATTTGGTGGTGGTAATATACAATCAGAGTTTAATAAAGTGTAAGTTATTTATCTTTAAATGTCGAGAAGAAAAGTGACTTTTCTTTTGGCTCCCTCTGTAAGGTGAAGATGGTGTCCTAGACCGTAGCGACGTTGTCGGAGCTGCTCGATGTTGGAGGTCTTCCAGATCGAGAGTACTGGTCTCCAGGTAGCTATCCATGGGTGACTCCCACTAGAAGTTTCGCAGCTGTTTGGAGGTGACATGAATTCCAAAGGTCTTCTCCAGTCAGGCTGCGACTGGAGAAGTGATGGGCGAGAGCCAGCTCCTGCTTATCGAGGAACATCTTGGGTATCTTCCGCCCTGGTACTCGTATCCACGTCCTCTGTCTGGGCTGCGAAAACTTTGCTGATATGTGACTCGGTCGAAGTGACTTTTTTTGCCCCCCCCCCCTCCTGTATAACTGGCCTAGACAGACTTGTTCTTTGCCATTCATTCCCCTCTTGTAATCATTCGGTTCTGATAGATGGAGATTACTGACACATTCAGTTGTAATAGATCAGGAAATTTTAAGCAATAGTTGCATTTCTTGATATACTTGATCAGTCGTGAAACACTTAATAATCTGAGAAGAAAAATCACAACATTTGAGTGCCCCCTCCCCATAGCATTGAATCGGAAATGAAATAAAAGTCAATCCAATGAACTACAAAAAACTAAATCCTGTAAATGACACTTCGAGGCTGCTAATAAGAAGCAAAGGAGAAGTATTTAACTATTTTCAATGCAATGGATGAAGAACTGGTTTTCTTTTCGTATTGAGTGAGCAGAGAGGCAAGATGTGCGCAATTATAGGAAAAATCCCGATCTTTTCTCGATTTAAGAACAGTAGCGCGATGTTTGCGCTCTAATCGCTATTGGAAGCGTGAATCACCAAAGATTGGCAAAATGCCAGGAGCGCCGCGGTCGACACGCGTTGCGCGGACGGTGTAGGAATAGATGCGACCAGACGGAACGCCGTAGGATCTACCCGACGATCAGGTTAACTTCAACGCAACGCGACACGCTCCGCGTGGCTATGGTCGTCATGGCAGAGTCGTCTCCGTACACCACACTGCAGATCTTCCTATGGTAGCATCGATCAAAAAATTATCGATGCAATACTCTGAAGAACCGCACGTTGCTTGTGACGGTCGAATATGCAGTTAGTTGCGCAAAAATTGTCATCTTCGACATAGTTTTAGATAATCGAGCGTCATTTCACTGCAAGTTGTACAGCTTCACCACCCCAACCGCACTTCTATCTGCTTTCATTCCTAGTCTGCTTTTATGTTGTTGTTCTTGTTCATACATACATTGTCTGTTCTTGCAGTTTTGCTTATGTTCACTACTTAAACAGTTAGTCTTCCCTTACGTTTTTGACGAGCACGAGGAAGTGCAACCTCTTTCGTTTGCTCCCATCTTAGAACACGTGCGAAATAAAGAGTAAACCACGCTTTGACAATTTTCCCCTCCTTTAAATATTCTGTTTCATTTGAATGGTTCTAACCAATTTTGTTTTCTCCTGCCAAGACTATATTGCTGGAGAGGACGGTACTGAACCCCCAGGACGCCCTATTGAATTGCCTTCAACCCACTCGTAGTCCGAGGTCAATGCAGCAATCGTTTCAAGACGCCATGGCTAGCGTAGCACGCCTTGGTAAACCCATGTATTGTCAACCAAGACTTGCAGTCCGCAATGGAATAAATTCAGAAAAAACATTTTTACTGGACAAACATCATCGGATCGTCCTCATGTGACATCGTGAGTTTTTGATGCAAAACTGATGGAAGTGCGCCCAGATGTGTTCAGGAAACACGTATTAGGCGAAGTACAGGCGTACGTCTATATCGTCGAATTCCAGAAACGTGGGCTACCGCACTGTCATATGCTGTTGATATGAGGCTCCGGATTCCATAACCCTCTTAAGACCGCAGCATCACAAGGCGACTGCTACTTATTTGATACACCGTCAGTGTGGCTCTTTAGACCCTCGCTCATCGTGTATGCAATGTGGATCATGCTCTAAACTATTTCCAAAGCCTTCGCTCAAGGTAAATCCGATGGAAGAAGGTGCATATCCGTTGTATAGAAGACGCAACCTCTTCCCAACTGAAATAAAAAAAATATGGCCGTCATATTAACATCGGAATTTGCGGAGCGATTTCTGTAGAGTATCCCCACAGCTACATCTTGAAGGGTCCGGACTGTGCTACTATAAGCATCGAAAGCGCCAACGATAACGACGAAATAAGGCAGCATATTAATACTAGATGTTCCCGCTCCACAATGTGTCTATAGAATTTTTGTATTCTTCTGTAAGAGAAATCGCATACTGTGTTAAATTTGGCGGTACACTTTCCAAACCGCCCACTTCATCCAAGGTAGGGTGCGGATTCTCTGAGTTGTGCAGGAACGTACACCACCCTGAGTGCCTATTTCTAACCAAACGCCCAAATCGCTAGCAATCCTCGTGCTCGGATAGTCCTATATGCAAGAACTCTTTACTACTACCAAATTCTTTAGCACTTCGCGTTTCATCGCGACCCAGGCTGGACACTTCGAGGGCGCGGTGGAAAACAAATAAGCAGAAGCACACTGTTTTGCCTATAGACACTGATGGATATTGTGTGCGAATTCTTCTGCAAAACACTACAGGAAAAACATCATTTGAAGATTTGAAGGAACAGTTCATAATAGCTTCAGTGATGCGGCAGAAGCCGTTGGATTTTTGACTGATGACACCTACCTCCGGCAAAGTCTCCTCCAAACAGTGCAGTGCAGTACCAATGCGCTGCTACAATCAGAAGTTTCTCCGCATACTTGCTCTGCTTCCGTGACGCAAATCATGCACAAACTTTTGGGATGAATTTGCTCACGCAGTGTCCGATTGCTACATTCATCAAGGAATCGATCAGGAGCGTGCTATAGGTTTCGCTTCTATTGACGTTGTCGATAAAATGAGCTCGTAAGGATTTAGCTCAGCTGGTGGCTCCACCTGTGCCAGCGATCTCCGCGTGCTGCCACACCAGTTGACTACAACGCTCACGAGAGAAACGGCCTTGGCCAGTACATCCTATAGCCACAGATACGGAAGGCCACAGATAGCGTCCTTTGTTCTGCGGACGGTAACGGGAGCCGGAATATGTTTATTGACGGATCAGGTGGTAGCGGAAAGACGTATTCATATCACACTGTATATAACATCGCATTTAAAAGAAGACGCCAGGTGATGTGTGTGTGTGCTTGGGGGTAGGATTGCAGGATTGGCTTCTACCCGCGGGAAGAACGGTCAACTCGGCATTCAAGTCAAACATAGCAGGCAAATACCGTACTTCCTTAATGACACGCCGTTTAAAGAGAAGCTCAACAACTCATAGCGACGGATATGATCACATGGGATGAAGTATCGATGGCCCCGACGTCGCTCAGCTGTTGACGCTCTATCGGGGGACCTTATACAGAACAATATGCCATTTGGAAGTAAAGTTGTATTAGGTGGAGACTTCAGACACGGTCTGCGAGCATTGTTGAAGCCCGTGTTCGCGAAATGCACCTTTGGCCCCTGTTCTCCACTCATCGACTGAACATTTGTATGGAGCTCAAGCTGGAGGAAGTAATTTTAGAGGATGCCTTCAAGCGATCGGTCACGGCGAGGTTAAAGACTCTGACGATCGCATATCAGTGCCAGAAGCAATGTTCTCTTACAATCATTATTACTGAAGTATCCGATCCTCACAACGCGTCACAGCTATGCGAATGTGCCACTTTGGATATCATCTTCTGTGCATTCGCCAAGGTGCAGGTTGATGATATGGACCAGAAATCCTTTTAATGAAAAGCCCATATTGTCTTCGTGGACATGGACTGAATAGAAGTAAACGCTATTACATCGAAGCTCGAGAATAATATCCTGCCCTTCATGTCTTCGCCTGTACCGCCTTGGAAAGTTCGTACTGCTACAGGACTGGGTGCCTGCAAGGGAATAGAAACCTCTCGCCCAGCTGGAATGGAGGAGTGTTGAGTACTGAAGACGGAATATCCAAGTGTGACACCTGACTCGATTACCGGGTTCGGGTAGAGCTCAATGTAGTGGTCTACAGTAGCGGCTATATCAACGACCTCGCTCAACGCAGGCATCGAATCAATCGCGATTGCATGGCAGAACTTCTCGACGGCGTTCGTCCAAAGCCTATTGCGGAGTTTTATGATTGTGTACAATGTGTTGTTGAATTTGATGATGAAAATGTCCAATCATGAATAAAGTGAAAATTATTTCGTCTTGAAAGTTGAGGAAAAAGTGTCTTCTTTTATCCTCCCCCCCCCCTCTGCAAAGTTGTTTTCGCTGCAGACACTGGCCATGTCACGTGAGTTGTGTTCGGCGTGATGTCAAATTGCTTTCCACTAACTATTGCCGCTTGCCAGCCTCAACAATTGCAGAAGACATGGGTCGAGGTGGACGACGTTGCCCCGCCTTCCCTCTTCATACACCCCCGAGCTCTGCTGAGAAAAACGGTCTCATTTGGTGGCGCCACACTGAGAAAACTTCAACACTCGTCTCCTACAACGACTTGAGTCAGCTAACCCAATTTGTCGGTATTTTTAGGCCTACTCAATCCAAGCCAATGTATGTTCCATTAACGGAAACTGAAAAGTGATTAAGCTAGGCAATATTCCACGATTACGACCCCAGAAACTCAGGTGTTTTTTTCACTGGAACCTCGTCCACTACCTTCCCCACCAAAAACTTTACAACTCGCATAGTAAGGTTCATTGGATCCTGATAACGACATTCATTTTCTGCGGAAACGCCTTCTTTAGGGCGCTCTGACAACTGCGCTATGTCAAAGACAGTTCGCGCGATCAAGTGGTCCGCGTGATGCCTCCGTGAACTTGGCTCCATTGTCCGCATTCGCAGAGTTTATAACTTTTGTCACTCGAAACGACGAGACAAGGAGGCTAGAGACGAGGGTTTATCGCAAACCATTTGCAACCACGATCACCCTCACAGTGCAAGACAACAATTCAGAAGCTGCTATGACATGTGTCCGTGCGTTTGCGTGGGAGCGTCGTAGGGCAATGTCGTATACTCTTGCCGGCAACCGGTTGCACGTCGTATCCTGCTGATTGGGCTTGCCGACGACGTACATACTCGTCCAGGGCACCCACTGCTTCATGAGTGAGCACCTAATTGTCTTTAAGACTGAACAGGCGAGCAGGGAAGCACTCCTACTCCCACGCTGAGCACTTAGCTGAATGACGCTGCGTCAGGAAATGAATGTCATACCCATCAAGACACCAAACAACCCTAACAAATGATGAAACAATAACAGGACCTGTTATGCAACTCATCGATTTAAAAAAAAACGATGGGTCGTCAAGGATCAAGGCTAAGAACCTCTGATTCAAAATTACTGCGAGGGTTTTTGGAGTCATATGTGGAAATTTCAGACTATCGAGCGTAGACAGGGAGACCAGTTCTAGAGAATCGTCAGTGTGATGTACGAGAAAATAACTCATTGTCTACAATTTATTTATTCTGACAAATTCTGTGAATAACTTAGAACTCGTTAAAACATACACCCATTCATACAATTACTCTATGGCAAAGTGAAAAATTACTTAAATACATACAAACATTGCGAATATGGAAATGCATCCGGCTTTTGTGCAATTTTTCAGCGAAACTAATATACAGGGCATTGGGTTCGCGACGTCGCTCGTCAACTATAATCGAGCCGAAACGAAGCATGATGAGCGTAGTGGTGAGTGTATTCCCAGAACGTCTACTTGTTATAGGCCTCAACAAGCATTCCTATCCCATGTCCTCCTGCTGCACAGGCGGCAATCACTGCATATTGTCCTTTTTCTTCCTAAAATGCTATCGAATTTTCAACAAACAGAGATCGAGAAAACCGAAGAAAACAGTTCCCAAGGCAGGGAAAGTCAAACTCAGTGGCAAAATGTACTAACCTGAGGCAGACACGTCCTACCAACTCTTTCTAGAGATTAAGAGGAAAAAGGAAAGGAAAGCAGTAGAATAGTGCATAAGTATACGCTTCCGCTAGCCTTAGAAGTTCCCCACCCCTCTTCCCGAGTTAGATGTCAAGAGGTCTTTGAGGAAGCCAAGGCTTCAGAACGACTTTCCAAGGCGAAAATGTAACGAAGACCCGTCAATTTCGTCGCAAGACCCGTCAATTTCGTCGCTCAAAAGCCCCTTGAAATTAGCAGAACGATTTGGAGTGAAATAGACAGCCCTCTTTAACAGTATTAGAGCGCGCCCTCCTTCACACCTTTCAGTTACAAAAATGTAATTAGCTTGCTAAGAACTTTGTAAACATGTGCGCTTCTCTCTATTCTAAACAGTCTTCACCTACCTTCAGTCTACCAGCTGCATGGGAGGCCAACCGTACGCCTGTGGCTCCAAATGGATGGCCAATGGAAAGCGATCCACCCCAATTGTTGATCTTCTCCATGGGTAGACGTCCGAATTTACCAGAGCGGCCCATATGCTCCTGAAAAGATTCTCAGATGGGAATTGTAGAGCAAGCGTCATGTATACAGGTAACGAGTGATAGTAAAACGGAAAGGACTAAGAGCTTCGGTGGAAATGAAAGCTCCAGAAAAAAGAAACAAACGGACCCCAAGAAAAGCGTTATGAATATTATGATTCCTCTTTTAAAATCCCCAAAAACGGACCTTACAGAAGTAGTCGCAATCGAGGGCATTGAGGTTAGCAAGCACCTGTCCAGCGAAAGCTTCATGGATTTCGAAAACATCGACATCTTTCAATGTAAGACCAGCCTGAAACAAAACTATTTAGCACTGTTACTCGACGAATCCACAGAATACGTAAAGAACAGTTGAAACTGCGTTCACCTTATCCAGCAGCTTAGGAATCACATAAGCTGGTGATAAAAGTAACTGGTCTTTTGGATCTTGGGCAACATACTGATACTGCCGCAAATAGGCAATAGGTTTGTAGCCGTTAGCCAGGGCAAAGTCTTCAGTCATGATAAGACAAGCTGAGGCACCATCGGTAAGGAAGGAGGCATTGGCTGAAAATATGTGTTTTGTTTTCAGATCATACAATAATTCTTCATCATCTGCCAATACTCTTAACAAATGCCAGCCATCACCCTCAGATACTGACCTCCCTTCGCTGTATTTTCGGAAAACGCCAACCAAAGGAAAATAAGGGTATCAATCCCACGACTCAACAGAATACGAGAATCGGCGACTCGGCGTTTTTCGTTTCGTTTCAGTTTCCTGGGTTTGGTAGATGCAAGTCGATCATTCCGGTCGAGCGTGCATTCTCCCAGTACAGCGGCTCTCCCATTATCACTTTTCGTTGCAGGCCACACTTAATAAACTGACCAGGAAAGGTCAACAGGTCAGCCCGGCCATATGCAATGAGATGCACATCATTGTACTCATCTTGACACGGTGAACTCGAAACTATCTTCAAAATTTGCGGAACGATTCTCTGAGCGGAGTTATGGAGGTTTTTTTACTGTTTTTCTTCTTCCAGGCGCGCTGGCGCCGAAGCGTTGGCACCTGTAGCGCGACTCACAGCGCTCTTCGCGCAGAATAGCTATCATATTCGTGTTCAGGGGGTCAAATAACCCCCAGAGACGTCACCTTAGCGAAATCTGAGCTTCTGACTCAACTTCGAAAAAATGGGGTATGGATAGTCATGGCTGACTGATAGCTAACAGCGATACTATGACTAGCATACTGGTGATGACTGGTCTTCGAACTGAAATAACTCTTCAGTCATGTCTTCAGGCAAGAACAATACCTGGCTTATTTATTCGTGCCGTCTGCATCATTTTCCTGATTACTGGGAAAAAATTCCATTCCGAGACCAGTCATCGATGGTAGGTGAGCTCCAAACTGCTCCCCATGGAATAACTCACATTTTCCAAGTTAGGTCGAAATATCAGATTCGGCTAGAAACTTGTCCCCAGGGGTAATTTAACCCGCTGAACATGAATATGATGGTATTTCATTGCAAAAACCCTTGTGACATGTGCTACGGGGGGACAAGCACGAGCACTCTTTCAGGCCATAATGGGTCTACACTTTCGAAAAAAACTGGTCGCAGTTTCCTTACAGGATAGTGCAGGCGAGCAGAGATGTTAGAAGCTTTGTCGGCCATGTTCTTGGACAAATGCAA